ATCTATTTATTGATTGTGCCTTAAATGTAAATATTGTAGTTATGAGTATATTTTGATAAGTACTGATTGCATTATTAAAAGTGACTGACAAATATTTATTGTGAAATTGATTATTTTTTATTGTCTGTGCTAGAGTTTCTATATCGAAAGTAGTTTTAAGAGTTGCAAACATTAGGTAACAGTCTGTGATTGGTTGAGAGCAAACATTTTCTGAAAAGAAGCAAAGTAAAATTATCCTAAAATGAAGTGCATCGATTACCTTTCATTACTGAAAGTATATAGATATGTAGTTTTTTTTCTTGATTTTAAAATTAATAGATTACATAAAGAATGAAAATTAAAAAAGCAATGTTTATTTTAAGAGCATTGATAGTTAAATGGCATTTTGATTAAGTACTTTATGTGCCAAGAAATATTTTTTTTTACAAAGAAGTTTTTTTTTGTAAAACATTTTGCAAACAAACTCAAAATAAAGTTTAATTTTAATATTTAAAAACTGAATCGATTAACTTTTGAGTATGCCCTTTGGTTGGTAAAAAATCAAATTAAATACAGCTAGGAGATAGTTAAAATATTTATTTAAAAAATTAAGAATTAGAGAAAAATTAAGTAAGCATCAAAAAGGGGGGAAGGTGATTTGCTTATTTTTTTCTGACAAGAGTAGAGCTTATGTAAGACGTTAAAATCACATTATTTTCAATTTTTTTTTTTAAATTAAAGATAGTTAACAAATAAATTAGGATTGCATTTGGAAAATTAGAAAAGAAAGTTAAAGCGGAGAAAGGAAATGTTGGGGAAAAATTTCTTATAGGAATTTCAGAGATTAAAAGTTTTAAACACACAAGAATTCCTAACAAACATTTTTTAAAATTTTTTTTATGTGAATTGAAACATAAAATTTGTTTTATACAAAATTACATGGTTCATATGAATTTAAGCCTAAAATTAGATTACTACTGCAAAAGTCGAATTTGCAGCAAGTAACAATGGAGGGAGAGGGTGTTGTGACATTTTTACGTAAGCATGGGGGGAATTTGTGATTTTTTTTGGGGGGGGCGACAAGAAGAAGGTCTAAAATTATCAAAAACATGTTAACTCAATATTTGAACAACCCCTAAACATGATTTTGATGTGGAATTGTAAAGAGAGTTGTGCTGGTTACTTCCCTAAGTGAGGTAACTGATTCTGCTAATCTCCTTATTATTTGGAAGCTTGAATCTGGATTATTTTTAAACAGCATAACTCTCTAAAAACCCATCTCTACCTAAGCAAAGATTTGCTCATAAAACTTGGAGCTTGATTTATTATATGTGTTATATTTTGATTCTATCCTGAATTACCTTTAATTTATTTCTGTAAATTCTGGTAATAAATGCATATTTGTATAAATTATTGATATTTAGTGTAGTAATGTAAATTAGTATTTTTTTTCTATTGAAGTTTCAGTGATACCCAATAAGCTAAAATATTTATTTTTGTATGGTCTAATAAAGTATGCTTTTCTATTCTATCATTTTTGTAATTCTTTATTCAGGAATTTTTCTTTTTTTTAAAAAAATAATCGATGAAGCATCGTTTATAAAACGGTGTTTCGTTTTATAAAACTATATCGAAAAACAGTTTTTTTTATGTATTTTCACCAGGTGTTAATAATTTTAAAAAAAAACACAATTCTAAATTCACGCTGTTTATTTTTAATCTTTCTTTATTTTTAAAATAATCTTACGTCTTTGCATACGTATTAAATTTTGTAATATTTAATGGGGATGCTTTGCAAGATGAAATTGAAGCTTTCAGTGAAGAACATGTGAAATAAAATATTGCAGAAATTTACTTTAGATCTATTTTAATTTATAACTGTCGTTGAACGGCCAACCCAATTTTTGGGTTTACGACTAAGCATGTTCAACTCCGTAGCCTTGTAATTTTGAGCCTAATCCAGAAGACAAGTGAACTCCTGGATCAAGTATTTTTGATGGAACTAACCCGCATTTGCGTTACATGAAGCGAAAACACACGAAAACCTCCCACGGTTATCCTGACGGCTTGGAGACTCCCACGATCCGTCTACCACTGAGGGTATTTTACGTCAGCACTGTGGTCGGTGCAAGCCGGATGCGGAGTTCGCATCGACCACCCATCGCTTAGATTCGAACCTGGTTCACCTCATTGGCAGGCGAACACTCTATTCCCTGATATCTATATCTATACCCCACTTATATCTATTTTTTCTTTAAAAAGAAGAAAAAAAATAGGACATAATTTATAAAACATAGTTTCCCCCCCCCCTATAGAAATGTTTTATTAATGCTGTTTTTCGAATGCTCTGTCTTCAGTTGAAATAATGCTTTTCGGTGAATAATATGTTATTTTCATAACTGTTGTGAGGTTGCAACAGTTGTTCATGACTGTTAGGTTAACTTTAACCTATCTTCTTTAGACAGTACTACGCTATTTCTGAAAATAGCGCAAAACGTCACTATGAAGAAAAGCCATAGTTTTGAGTAAATGATAAGTGTTTGTGATCTGATTTAAACGATAAGTGTTTGTGACAGAATTTATGATTTTTCAAATGTTTAATAACTTTTAGAATTAATGTAGTTTTCCAATTTTTAAATCTAAATATTAAAGAGTTGATTTGAGTATTCATATTAACATTATTTGTTTATAAAAATTAAAATGCCATTAGCAATTGCATATTTAACGTGTGATTTGTGAAAGTGTATATATTAAGTTAGCAATTTTTTAGTTTAGTAACATTCATAGAATTCGATTAGGATGCTTTGACAGTTTTTGATATAATTATAAAATAAGGTTTTACCCTGCTGATTTGCATAAAATGTTAAGAAGCTACAGTTATTTTAATTTTTTTAAAAAAATCATTAAATTTACTTCTTTGAAATTGTTATTTATTTTTCTCATTTTTAAAAATGGTATGTTAAATAGCGTGAAAGTAAGTCAATGCTATTGTTTAAACTAGTTTCCAATAATAAACTTTTTTTAAAATAATATTTCAATATTTGACAATTCTTTAAAAAAAAAATTTCTTCCACTTTGGTTGGTCAAAACCTATTTCTTCCCGGGCGATGTCTTTCAACCCTGATACATCACAACCCTGAATGTTTTAAAGAAGAAAAGGACAGTGTAGAAATGACTCACAATTCTTTCGGAGTTACAGTATTTATTAATTGCTTATAATATTTTATACAAAACAAAGAAATACATTTATTTACTTGCAACATATACATATATAATTAAAACATTATAAATACTTAAATATTTTTGAGATCAGTTTATAATACAATTTTACAAACACTGTAAGATTGGTGGTCTTTTACAGTTTTCACTATGCGTTAATTCCATCTCAAAATACATTTTTATGCTTCTATGATACACCAAGGTAACAAAACCTCTCTAAAATAAATACATATAAATTCGTTCAATTAAATAAAAATGCTTCCTTATCTGCACATGAAGTGCTTAGGGCGATATGATAAGCCACAGTTTTTCGAGAGTGACATTTCACATCAAACTTCCTTTGCATTGTATCCAGATATAGTCTGTCTGTGGAAAGAACTCCCCTCCTCATTCGTCTGAGGCATTGGTTTTGGTTTATGGTGACGAGGTTTAACTATTTAAAATAAGAGTGTTGGATTGATATTTAAGACGAGTCAGCTAGAGAAGGCAGACTTCCTTTTTTGAACTGCGCTATTTCTTGTTTCGATAACAGCAGACGGCCTTGGACTTAGTGGCTGGGAGAGTTCTTGCCATAGACGAACTATAGGTACTTCTCATGTTATCGAATTTCTGAACAATACGTTGGAGTATCTTATTGCCTGAATGGAAATTGAAGTGTTTTTGCCCCAAAAACGCTCCTTTGACCTATTTTAAAATGTGGCTTACCATTATATTGCTTCAAATCTTTTATATATTTCATAGCGTTCAGGTTTTTTGTTCGCTTTTTCACAAAGATTCATCTTTACATACTAGTTCTTTTTCTCTAATTTCAAATACTATTTAAGAAAATGATACATAACAATTTGCCAAATACATATTTTAATTAAATTACGTAATTGAAATAATAATTATTATTTCTCTATCTTCAATATAATATATTTTTAGAATATTTTAGTTGAACAAATTAAATGCTCTACATTTAATTTAATCTGTAAAATAAATTATATACAAATCAGCATTTACAATAAAATCGATGTATACTATTTTATGCACACAAAAAAAAAGGGTCTTGTCTATATAAAGTATTTTAGACATAATGATATAATTTGCTAAATGATTATATTATATGAGGAGATAACTTTCTATAAATACATAGCAAAATATATAGACAAAATATCTGTTATAATAAGTTTCAGTATAATTTTATTGAGATTAAAATTCAAAATCCTTTGTAAATATATAATAAAATACTAATAATTTTTTTTAAAAAAATATCTAATTTTGAACTATATCTTATAAAAAAATGTCAATAAAATCATAAAAAATAATTCTTTTAATTAAAGAATAAAGTATATTAATACATATAAATTTATTTTAATTGTATAATTATATTATGATATATTTAACTATATAGTACAAATACGTATCATGCTGTCGTTCTTGTTAAAGAAAGATAAAACCTTAAACATTATTTTCCTTTTTTACATGTCCTCTAATTTTCGATAGATTTATTTTATTTATTTATGTAAGGTAATGAGTTTTTGCCTTAAATCCTCTTTGAAAATTTAATAATATTGTACTTTCTGATGTAATACAGCCTTCAGATCCTCGTGTTCGTTCACTACTTCGTCGACATACAAAAAGCCCATTATAAACTTAACATTAGTGTAATCATAAGTCAATCTTAAAACTTCGCCAATTTAGTAGTGAAATAGTAATTTGGCTATAATATATCTGCTATACTGATTTGAAATACCCATGTTGACTAATATCGGTGGAAGGGATTGGTTGCCTGCAACTTTCAAATCAAGTTTTTTTTTTTAAATTTTTTACAAAAATAACAGTTTAATCTAATTAAAAGTATTTATGATTTCGTTTTCAGGATCAGGATTACATTTATTCAAACTTCGTTTAAAATACTGTGCAAATTTAGTTATTTATGTAAAGAAACATAGCTAATGGGTTGCTTGTTTAAAATCAAGAACAGTTTATCTTCCTCGCTAAACTATAGAGGATTTACTTCTTTTCATCAAAATTTATATTCAATGTTCATTTCTTTGGAAATATATATTTAGAATTTACAATATTATGGAAACATATTTAGAACATTCAATTTTCTGAAAATATATATTTAGAATTTTCAATATTATGGAAACATATATTTCGAGTCTTCAATTTTCTGAAATATATATTTAGAATTTTCAATTTTTTATAATATACATTTTATTATTATTATTATTTTGATTTAATAATATTGATATAAAATATGAATTTTGGATTAAAAAGAAATAGAATTTTATGTTTGAATACGTCAGTAGAGTTGAGCTTAGATTAACAATCCTGATCCTGTTCTCACTGAGGACGAAAAAATAATATGAAAAGGACTACAAATACTGGTCAAGTAGGATGAATAGGAATAAGTTCAACAAGTCTAAGGCACTTAAACGATCCTTTTTGTTGTTGAGTTGAGTTGCGCAAGTGCTTCCTTATTCTATGCTATGCTAATCGCTGTCATGTGATCTGTCTCCTGTTGTGTCAGTTGCCTAAAGACAACAAAAATATCGCTGTTTGGTACAACAATTGCAGGTATTTCGTACAAATTAGCTTCTGGAAAGCCCTCCGGGAGTGTGATGTCGAAGTTTTGAATCAGAGTGGACAGGCCGAGGAAGAGGGTGGACTTGACTAGGCCATCACCAAGGCACGTTCTCTTGCCTGTCCCGAAGGGGATGAAATAATCAGGTTTCGATACGTTTCCAGAGCTAGTAATAAACCTGGAGGAGAAAGAACATACCAATGAATGACGTAGCACTATATTTATGCAACATTAAATTGAATAGTTAATCAATCTCTATTAGTTATCGAAATCATAAGGATACAAACAAAAAAATCCTACTCTTCATGTTGTAATCCTACGATTAAAGTCTAGTTAATCTTTGCACCCACATTTTTTAATACAAAATGTCTAAAAAGTAGAATTTTTAAAGACTTGCAAAATGTTGCAGTTAAATATTTTATTATCTAAAAATATCTTTATGTTACTTATTTCATTGAAATAGTATATTTAAAAAGGGGCAATTCATATATTTTTAGTGATAAGTAGAATCACACTGGTCGATATTCAAAACCTGAAGACCGATCAAAATATTTAAAAGTGATGAATTAAATCCTTGAATGTGCCAAATGATTAAATTCCTACTCCAAAAAACTTTACAATGACTGTTTTTAATTTTATTTAATCTTAATCGTATTGCAAGTAAGTAACATCCTCGATCGATTAAGATAAAGCAACTACTCTTGATATTTGACTAAAATTATTGTTTTTCAAAAAAAATTTTAAATGCTTTTTTGTTCGAGGAATTTTTGCACACCTAAAATTGCTTTTTATTAAAAATGCATTTATTAAAAACCATAAAAAAATTTAACGATTTCTTTAATTTTTCATTTATTTATCTAAAAATGACTAAATATGAAAGGATCAGAATAATTTATAATTAAAGGGAAAATTTGTAATAATTGGAAAAATAATACGAACATACTTATTCATTGCATATATGGTGAGATTTAAATTAAAAATAATCGAATTTTCTCTTAGAAAAAGATAACAGATCTTTTAAATATATTTCATCTATCTTTTTATACATTTTATCACTTATGATTAGAAGATCTTACGATTTTCAAAAATAATATGTCTTGTCTAATAATCATAATTTAGAGATAAATTATTTGATAATTGTTCTTACCTTTCTGGTTTGAATTGTCTAGGTTCACTCCATAATTTAGGATCCATGTTCATGTCATATGTGTTGAACATAACCATTGTGTCTTTTGCAACATGGTATCCTGAATAAAAAAGAAATTGAAAGTATTTAGTATAAGATATCTAAATTCTGTTTAAGAAAGAACTAGTGAATATTGTAATTAAGATTTACAAACATCTAAAAAATAATTCTTTTTTAAGAAAAAAGAAGAGTCCATTGAAAACTTACCGTTAATATCGGTGTCTGTTGTTGCCACATGAGGTATAATTGGAGAAGCTATAACTCTCAAAAGTTCAAAGGTAGTTGCCTCCGTGTAGGGCATGTTCTTCCTGTCTTCCATGCTTGGAGCTCTCATATTACCAGTTACTCTGGTGACTTCTTCTCTAATGTTGGCTCTTACTTTTGGGTTGGAGGCTAGCAAATACAATCCCCACAGCCACAAATTACCCAAGACAGAGTGTCCACCAATCAGATCTTCTATGATTACTTCAACATCTTCGTACGTCAAAGATGATTCACTCTTTCCTTCGTTGTCTTTCAAATAGCTCAAATAAATGTCAACCAAATCCCTAGGCTTGTTGTGGTCGATGTTTACCTCGTGTTCCTTGACGACAACTTCTGTGACATTTGAGACGTTTTGAGCCAGGTCTTTCAGTTCTTGGAGACGAGAGCTGTTGAACACTTTGAGCCAGGGCATGAAGTCAATGGCAAAGCCTTTGAAGAGTTCGCGGAAGACCAGGTCGTAGATCTGAATGAGTTTCAAGAAGTTGGTGTCCTGATCGCTGAAGCGTTTGCTGCAGATGTACTGGTAGAAGATATTAGCCGTGGTGAAGAGGAGATAGGACCTAGCTGATAGTTTTTGATTCTGTACTTTAGATAGAGCTGACACGAGTTCCTGAAGCTCGTACATGATGATGTTGTTCATGCGGTTTCCATCAAGCGTTGCAACTCTGGGATGCATAAAAGGGAATGCCATCTCCCGTCGAGTTTTCTGTTTATCAGACCAGTCACATAATGCAATTGCTAGAAGGAGAAAGTAACGGGTTCAATATTGTGATGAAAGTAGTTCTTTTATAACACACTGTTAGACCATAATATCGTTCAATGGAAATGTGCTCAAAACCTTGACTTAAGTGGTCCCTTAGGGTTACATTACCATCCCAAATAGCAAAATAAGGTTTATTTTAACCAAGCATAAACCTTTTAATGTAAACCTAAAAAGGTTTTTTATGCGATTTACGTGTAAGCCTTTTAACCTTAAAACGAGATCTGTGGCAATCTGCTCTATTCTATGCACAGAACTCTGATCCAAAACCTTGGAAAATAGCCTCCTATATAAAAACCTTAAATCGAGGTTGACTTCGGGTTATCAAACGTGGAAAAATCCTTTAATAAAGCTCGTCTCTAGGGGAAAATAATCTTAAATCTAGGTAATTATAGGGTTTGTTTTCGCACAGTCTTGTATGCTCAGCTAAAATTCACCTTGTCATGAAATTTTAATGGGCAATGTAATTTGATGCTATCACTAGTGTAACGTCAGCTTAAACGTCTTTATGGACCTAAGAGACCATTTTTCCTAAGTGACAATACTTTTTAAAAAAGGGTTAAAAAAAACTTTTTTTTATCGTTTTTGGATTGAAAGTTTGAAACTGCAATATTTTTCCTTCATTGAAAAAAGTTTTTTGTACAAACATTTTCTTGACAATAAAAGGAAAATTCTGTCGCAAGGTTGTCGTAAGTTTACATGTCTTCTGGCCAAGATTCATTTTCTCATAGAATAATCGAGGAGAGAAAAGGTTCAACTTTACTGACTATTAATATTTTGGCAAAACTGCATTTGCTAATTTATGATTCTACTCTTTTGGTCGGGAAATATTTGTTAAATTTTGATACATTTCTTAAATTGCAGCCAACTAAAAGAATTTCATTGTTGAGATATTATTTCATGTAAACCTAGTTATTTACCGGCTGATATTGTTTGCATTATTTAAGATAATTTGTTTTCTTAAATAAAGAGTGTTACTAGTTATACTAATGATCAAGGAATATTCATAATGTCAACTTTTAGAGAGTTTTAAGTAAAAGTTTTTGACACATAAACGATTTCAGGATTTAAAGAAAAAAAAACTAATTTTAAATGAAAGAATATTTTTATTTTTAATGACTATATTATTTTATAATCGTCGTTGAACAGCAGACCCAATTTTATGGGTTTACGGCTACTAATGTTCAACTCCGTAGCCTTGTAATTTTGAACCCAATCCAGAAGAACACCTGGATCGAGTATTGGGAAAAATTTGCCTTCGTGTAGGACTTTTTGATGGAGCTAACCCGCTTTTGCGTTACATGTAGAGGAAGACCACGAGAACCTCCCACGGTTAGCCTGACGGCAAGGGGACTCGAACCCCTGATCCGTCTACCATTGAGGATATTTCGCGTTAGCACTGCGGTCGGTGCAAGCCGGATGCGGAATTCGTATCGACTGGGATTCGAACCCGGTTCGCCTCATTGGAAGGCGAACGCTCTATCCCCTGAGTCATAAATGACTCAGGGAAATAGCAATTAACTTCGTGGTTACAAATTTGATTTAATAATTATATATTTTATTATTTTCTAATTTTTTTTAACGATTTTTAAAACACGCTAAGTAGAAAAAGTATCATAAAACTGTAAAAATTACCATTTTACTAAATGACATATTTAAATAATATTTATAGGAATATTAATGAATTCTAAAAGTACATAACATGTACCGTGAACTTACACAAATTTCTGTCACCCCGAAAAATTGCATGGAATCTGAGAAAATCAGGACGATTGGCGAATTCTTGTCCTTTGGCGACAAGTACTTCTTTAATGAGAGACATGTTACTGATGACGACGCATCGACGGGAACCCAATGTCATTCCATAAATGTCACCAAATTGTTTTCGCCAACCTGAAAAAGCGTCCCATGGGTTCTTGAACCGACCCACAACATGAGACGAACCTAGAATAAAATTATTGATTTTAATAAAGTACGTTTACTTTAGTGTTACGTTTAAATTGTCGAAGGGAATTAAGAAGAGATTAGAAACCCATCCAAGTTTGATCAGGCAATGAAACTGTTTTTTTTATGTCCATCTTTTATCTCTAAAATTTCCACAGGTTTTTATGGATTTTTTTTCCTCTCAGAAATATTAATTTGTGCGCGGTCCTTCATGTTTTCTTGTTAAGATTTTATTTTTGGCAAGCATTCTAAAATATGTGCTGACTACTTTTTATTTTGAGATAGTTAATACTCATTCATCGGCAATCAAACGGGTTTTGGAGTTTTTAATCCCTTCTTCCATAGTGGTTCGTCAGATTTTTATAAGATTAGATTAATTTATGTTGTATTAAATATTTATTTTGGGTTACATTAACTATTTATTGCATTAAATTAATTAATTATTAAATTAGTAAACTAAATTATTTACATTGAATTATTTATTAAAATATTAATCAAGTAAATTTCTAATTTTTTATCTATTAATTATTAAATTGCTTATTTATGATAAATTATGATTAAATTATTAAGTACACAGTTTACATTTGTCAAATTAATTTGAGATTTAAGTAGTGAATTTGTGCATAGTTCTGCCTTCATTTTCGGTTAAGATTATAAAAATGTACACTAAGGGTAATGATTACAGAACGTCTTGTAATGTGGTTAATTTCTGTTATGTGATCAAATATTCTATGCTTAATATCCTTTTTTTTTTAATCTTTTAATACATATTCTTTTTATTTTCTTCAAAGTAATGAAATCAATTCTTATTTCTAAAGTATCTAGTATTTATTTTTCTTAAATAAAATACAAATGAGTTGCCTTACCTAACAGGGGCAAGCCCTTGGGACCCGGTAGAGTCTTTAGAGGCGTGCCCTTTTTAGGGCTCTTTCCAGCTCGGAGTCGGACTAGGAGGATGATCGAACCTAGAACCATGATGGCTGCACCCAAGAGCAGTGTCAGGGGAGACACAGAAATAAAGCTCATCTTGATGGGAAAAGAAAATAATCTTGAAGACGATCTGAAAATAAAATATTCATATTGTTATTGGATACCAAGCAAATAGTTTTGTCTAATGACGTGGTTGTGCAAGGAGTGTTCCATGGATGTTCTAATTCCATGAATAGTTAATTTCTAAGAAAACCTTTTATATTTAGCTGAAACAACTGAGATGCATTTAATTGGGTATTTGCACTTCAAGAAGAAGAAGAAGACCTCCCAAACCCACACATGTGATTTATGACGTCAGCTAATTTTTTTCAGTGAATTAGCGTATTAAAATTGAGCTAAGTTTTCCAACATTAGTTTGAATGTTAATTAACGATAAGTGAATCAAATACAGAGCCGTATCGCACATCGAATTAGTTGAAATATAATTCTTTCTCTTCCACTTCTTTTAGTTGGATTTATTATTTATTTAATGTATTTTTTGGTAACTCTGATATATTTTGTGTACCTACAAACTTCCATGCCTAATTAGTTTGTTTATGTTTCACATGGCTTCGTGCCTGTCTTCGTGTTAAGTCTCTGTGCAAATATATAGTGGAAGAATTTAAATCTTTGAAAAAAACTTTTTTGAAAGAATTTAGAATGTGTCTATTTAGAGAATTGATACTTGGCGGGCTTGGCCAACGCCTCCTATAACTGAAAGCCTCCACACGACTTTTTATAGGTAGTACGATCAAATCACTGTGACGGTAAACTAGTTTACGAAAGAGCCATTTCATAGAAAATCTATTAAAAATTGGAAAGTGGTTGAAAATACATGCCTAAAATTTTTTTTAATTTATGAATTCGATTGTTTTGTCTTATTAACTTGTCAACCACTACAGATTCAATTCTCAAATATATATGATAAATTTCTCTCAAGTAAGTTTAAAATAGAATTTGGGTGCATGCACACAACTGGTTCGCATTTTAAATAATCTGCCCAGACTACTTATAAAATCCCGTGTGGAGGCTTTAATCCCGTGTGGAGGAAATAGAATGGAGAGAACAGTTGCTAACATAAACAAACGCCACATTTCAACAACCAATCATGATCGAGATACCCACCCAACGTCACTTGCAGATATCCCATTATTAAAAAAAATCCCTTTATAATCAACAAACACAATATTTTATGAAGTCTTCATAGTTTGTTATAATTATGTCTATAGTAAAGCTACTTTAAAATCAATAATCCTATTTTAAAGTCTTTCTCTCATTAACGGAATAATTATAATTAACCGAAATAAGTCTTTTCCTTTGAAAGAGCCTCTTTGCAGTAATGCTAACTTCAAGAATTTGTTTTAATTATCAAATTTGTGAGTGAAATTAATCGTCTGAAATATCTCCATTACTTTATATGTTTAGCTTTAGTTTGTTAAAATAAAGAATGAAAAGTTAAAAATCACAAAATTTATTTTTAACTCCAAATTATGTTACAACTACTTTCGATGGCGGTAAAAGCGTATCTTCTCACGCAGCTTTGAAAAATCTTATTGACGAAATTTCCCCATTAAATTGTCTTTTCCTTTGAGTTAGTTTTATTGCCGTGATGCAAACATGCCGAATGTATTTGAATAAACAAATACCGCATTTCAACACTTTCTTTAGTGCTACGTTTTAATAATTAAAAATTAAATACTAAAATAATTTTTAGTGTCTAAAATTTAAATTGAATTCCAAAATGTTTTCCGTTCATTTATTAAAACATTAACAGCGATTGATCATTGCAGACGATTTATAAAGCGGTTGGTCCTCAAGTTTATTTTTTTTATTTTTTACGTAACGTAAAAATTCAATTAGATATTTATATGCAATCGAGTACATATAATCAATTTTTAATTAAATTATTATTAACTCCTAATTTGATTATACGCTTACAAAGATAGAAAGGAAACAAAAATGTTTTCGAGAATATAATTAATATAATTTTAACCAAAATATTTATTCTATAACAATAATATTAAGAATCTTTAATTTAAAGAAAAAGATAATTTTATAATTACTCTTTATAAATTTATTTTTTTTAAAAAGTGTTTTCGTAATAACGAAATGAACCATTCTAATATTATGCACTTTTAATTTTAAAAACATGTGATCTTTATAGATTAAAACATTTAAACCAAAAAATGTTTTTTTCTTTTTTTAATGTTATTTATGAAAAAGGATTTAAATAAAGTCATGAGTGGGAAGTGAACTAGAAGAAAAATTATCAGTAGAAAATAATTTCGAAGTAATTTTTCAGAAAAGAAAGGATTCAAAAACGTTGTTTGATCTTTTTTAAATTGTTATTAATAAGAAATGAACCAAAAAAAGTTATCAAGTGGAAAGGAAGTGGAAGAAAATTAATTTTAGGAAAATTATCAATGAAAAATTTTTTTAAAACATTGTTGGCTTTTTTTTCTTCTTAATATAGAAACGAATCTAATACTCTGCATTTTTAATTTTTTAAAAAAATATTAGCTCTATACATTAAAATCGTTATTAACTAAAAAAATCATTATTACTAAAAAAAAGTTATGAGTCGGAAATGAACTGAGAGAAAATTATCAGTAGGCAATTAACTTGAAGAAAGTATGAATTTTTTTTTTTAATAACGTTACTGCTTGGAAACAAATCATTAGGACATTTATAGTAGGAAATGATCTAAAAAATTATTATTTTTTGAAAATGAACTAATGCGAAAATTTTAAGTTTTCATAACTATTCAAAGTCCATAAAAACAAGTTCTTACATTATAGTATACTAGCAATAATACTGTAAAATATTTTCCGATGAAATTTTTCAAAAAATTATGGAACAATATAGATATTTAGTTTATTTTTCTTTCAAATATTATTTAGTACATATTAAAACCTATTTCAAAGCTGTTTTTTTTTCTTTTTTGATAAACATGCCCATTAAACTCGGAAGTATACATTTGTGTACCCCACTAAATACAGAGTACCTACCACCTGGAAAATTTTAAAATGGGTGCCTAATTTTTCTAAAGACTATCTAAAATTTAAGGAAATAAACTTCTACTCTTTTAGTTAATCTCCGTTAAATAATTTAACTTTTCAAACCGATAACATTTTCGGCAGATATGAATAATCAAAACATGTACAAAATTTAGCTAACACTTTAACACATTATCTAGAATTTGTTTTTAAGCAGTATTAAAAAGATTATATCATTTTTGAGAGGTTAAAAATAATTTTCTCAGTCAAAGATTGATAACAACATAAGAATTCAATTCTTTCATTATTATTATTTTGTTTACTCATACAAATAAAATTGTTTTAAAATGACAAAAGAATATGAATAAATGATGTGATGCCTTTTATGGATCAGAACATATATCAAGGCTGAAAGGGTTAAAATACTATCATTTGTACAGATAAAATCATTTTATTATATTAATATTAATCTTTAATAATTTTTCTATATATATATATAGATAGTTAGATATTAATTTAAAAGAATATAAAGTAAATGATGTCATACCTTTATTAGAAAGAAGAAACACACTAGCTAAAGAGTATATTTGCTACTATCTAGGCTGTGCTCCCCTTTTAAAAGGCTTGGAAAGCTACCTTACTCCCCTCTCCCATAAAATCTCATCCTTTTTATACTTGTTTTAATCCTTTCTGATTGGCTGTCGCAATAAAAAAAGGCATGTTCGCGCAAAACTGTCATTCATCTGAATGGCTAGATTTCATTGGCTGAAAGAATGTTATCTCTATTTTGATTGCATGAGATACGAAATAGGAGGTTACTTCAAAGAAATAAAGGATTCCTTATTTTTTTCTTCCTTCTTTCAGTTTTTGCTTTCGATTTTATAGCCCCCATTCCCCTCCTGATTTATAAGGTTTACTTAATGGATTTTTTTTTACCTCTATGTGGATATTTACGAGACCTATTGAGTTAATGTCATCTCAAGGATTTTATTAGATGGAAAATGAATAGTTTTTGTATAGAAAAATCATTGAGATTTTTACACGCAGGTCTTGAAAAGTTAGAGTATTTTTAAGTATACATATAAAAAAAAAAGGCCGATAGTTGACTTTAAAATGATTAAAAAATTCTGTTTTTATTTTAACTTGAACGCAATAAAAGAATTAGTTTCGTTTTTCAATTATTTTCCAACTTTAAAAACGGTAGGTATATCTCAAAAACTGTAAAAGATAACTCCATGTAATTTGGAATATGCATGTTTCGATAAATTATTTTAAATTGTCTTTAGAAAACTAAACACTTTGTGTTTAATTTAAAAATAATATTTTAAATATTATTTAAATGAAAATAAGTAAAAAAATAAGTAATTTTTAAATTATATTTTTTTACATTTTTCTTAAATGCTTATAGCAAAAAACGCTGGAAAAAATCAAATTTTTTTATAATTTGAATTAAAATAAATTAGAAAAATGCTGATATTATTAAAGTATAATATCTCAAATTTGAATTTTTTTAAAAAACATCACTTTTTTAAATTTTCTTTGAAAAATTGATTGCAGGAAGATAGTACAAGTTTTGTATGCTTATTAAATGTTACTGAAAAAAAGTTCAAACGAATGTCTTTCGTTTTTAAAGAGTTTTATAAGGAAAATTTGAAATCAAGATGCATGCTTTCTTATTTTATGATTCTTTACAATGTTTTTTTTTTTTAAATTTCATTTATAGAAATTAATTTTTTATATAATAATAGGAGTGTAAAATTGTTTTGCGAAACGAGTATCGGAATTTTGTCTTATTATTAACATAACATTAGTAGAATAAACTTTTATTGATAAAATTGAATGTAACAGGAACAGGATATTATGTATTAAGAGCTGTTATTGGAAAATTAAATGTTTTTAGTTATGAAAAGTTTTTTTTATGATTTTCCTATTTTATAACGTTTTTATAAGATTCGCTTCCAAGTTATCTCATACATAAAAACATCGTTCTTATTTTATAGTATTTTTATAGGTTTTGTTTCGAAGTTATCTCCAAGCATAAAATCATTGTTCCTATTTAATAATCCTTTTATAAGTTTCGCTTTTAAGTTATCTG